ATGAACAAATCAGCAACTTGATTACAATTGGAAACATTTTCACTTAAGTTTCTTTCAGTATTGACTTCTTTGCCTTTATGCATTTAAGCACTTGTCCATACTCAGGTCCAAATGATTGTAATTTGTCTTTATCTAATTCAAAGAATGTCTGAAGGCAGTCGATTTTATTTGTGTTCAAGATCTCTCTACAATCCTGAAGATTGTGTCTTTTCAAGAAGAAAATAAAGGTTTTCGAGTCGAAACCTAAAACAAATTCAAGCATGGTGATGAATAAAATGAAACTCCAACACGGATAACAAACCTTGTCTATACTAGTATATTGATTGTATATATTGATCTTTCATTGCAAAAGAACTTCCGTATATTGTCCATGTGCAACAAAAATATGCATCGACTAAAAAAGTCAGTGATTTCTTCTCAAAGGTCCCGTTAAATATACATGCATTCTTAATACTCATCTTCATGAGGCTTCTAAAAATTGCAATTACTTTCTTAAAAGCAACAAAAGCGCTGAAATTCCAAACAGCTAATACAGTGTTTGATTTTATGTTTCTAAAGAGAAATTATGCTTCAACTCTTATTAGTCCCCTACCGGCAGTCCGTCTGTTCTCCCCCCCCCCCCACCCCCCATCCCACTTGGGTTTTCGTACTTTTTTTCTAAACGGTTGTGGTATTAAGCTGATTTATGGTATGTGAGTGTAGCATGATGAGTTACAGATAAAGTTTGAATGTCTTCCTCTTCATCGATTTTTGACAAAATTATGGCAATTTTAATTTTGTTTTTAAAATAGGGATAACTATTCGGTTTTTTATGGCCTAAATCAAAGTCCCAAACGAGCTTGTACATGTATTCTATAGGAAAAAGGAGAAGCCGGTAGGTGACGTGTTATACATGCAAGGTGTCATGCAATACTCTCAGAATGCTTCTTTATAATTGTATTGCTCTGTAATAATTAGTAAGATATGGCAATCCCTTGAAATTTATAGTATCTTACTCAGTTTGTAATCAATTCGAGTATTCTTAACATTTTAAAACACCAAGATGAATTAATTAAACATGTTATTTTCATGTATTTTCCCCCTGGAAGTAAATAGCAGTGATTTTTGTTCACTGATACTGTGTTGTGTTTGAACATTTTTCCTGGGGGTAAATGCCACGTATCATGTATAGATAATTAAATAGATCAGTCAGGTCATTATTTATACCTTTATTTAAATGAATATAATTTTCTCAAAGTCATACAAAAATATTAATTTCTGTAAAGAGGGTCCTTAAAAAAGTAAATATCCTAAATTATTTCATTGGTACACTGTACAAAGGAAACACAATCGTATTACAAGATTTACATTAATGTAAGTGCTAAAAAAGTAAAGGGGGAAAAGTTGCAGTTTTTTCCGACTGATGTCGATTTTTGTTTTGTCAATCTCTGTACAAAATTGTATTACAAATGTAGCCCTTTAAATCCATCAATCCATAGATTAATTGATCTCGGTACAGAAAAGCATATGATCACGCAATTCATGCTCTTTCAATATGCATTTCTGTGATGAAAATAATTATATCTTATATAATCTAATACGGATTGACCTCTACAATGGGCCATATATTTATTTGATTTATATTTATATTTACCTTGTTTTATTGACACATGACTATCAGAAATAGTCAACCGCTTTGCGTTTTCGGACAGCTGTGCCTATAAATGAAAAGAAGAGGACCATGGGCCACATCACTCACCAGAGAAGCTTTGACCATGCTATTCCTAACCAGGTTCCACGTTGTAATACCTTTTGTCACCCCATCGTACCCCACGAGTCATAATTTGGACAATTTAAAATCTACACTCCCCAGGATGCTTCCAATAAGTTTCAAATTTTCTGGCCAAGTAGTTCTTGAGAAGAAGACTTTAAAAGTATTTTCCCTATATATTTCTATGGGAAACTTTGATTCCCTATTGTAGCCTCGCCGACCCCCCGGGGGTCATGATTTATGGTTTAAATTGGCCCTGCCCTACTATAGTAAACTATAGTTAACTATAGTTTACTATTGTAAATCAAAGTTCCAAATTTTCACCATAATAAACCAGAGTTCCAAAGTTTCCCCACAGTAAATATAAAAAGTTCCGAAGTTTTTACTACTGTAAAAGTGGTTATTTACGCGTGAGGGAAATTTACACTACTTACGCGGTAAGCTAAGAACCGCGTAAAATTACCCCGGGCGTATGGTTACAAAATTTCTGGAATGATGCTAGATTTTTACTTATACTGTTAGGTCAGTCGTATATTAACCGTGGTATTGAACGCACTTGCGTAGATTCCGGTAAATACATCACAAACAGTGATGAAAACATAACTGTTCATTTGTTAAACTGTGCGATGAAAAATGCATCTTCATAAAATATTTTAAAGCAACGTCACGCTAGCTTCAAATCATCGATACTCATTTTCATTTTATTTGTATATTCGTATATGTCCCCCTTAATTCCAAATAATTAGTCCAAAATTTTACATAAACGCACATTCACTACAAACATTCCTATTAAATTACTTGTCAACACTCGACACGCAGATACAGGTAAGCGGATCACACTTTGAAGTTTGAGCTTGCGTACATAATTATAATAAAGCGTTAATCAATTGTTCACAACTGTGGACATCGACGTTATTTTTACTAATCCAACACTATAATTTCTTCTTGATTTGTTTAATTTGTTTGTAATTATTTTTTTCTCTTCATTTTTAAAGTGGTACAACTCGATGTTATAAAAAAAAATGGCCGCGTAATTTTTGGGGGGTAACTCGTTTATTACACCCACGCGTAATTTTGATGGTCACAAACGCGTATATTAACAACCAGTGTCAATAACCATTTTTACAGTATAATAAATCAAAGTTCCAAAGTTTTTACTATAGTAAATTAGAGTTCCAAAGTTTTCGCCATAGTATATCAAAGTTCCAAAGTTTCCACTATCATTATAGTAAATCAAAGTTCTAAAGTTTATACCATACTTATTCAAAGTTCCAAAGTTTTACTGTAGTAAATCAAAGTTCCAAAGTTTTCACTATCATAATAGTAAATCAAAGTTCTAAAGTTTATACCATAGTTATTCAAAGTTCCAAAGTTTTACTGTAGTAAATCAAAGTTCCAAAGTGTTTACTGTTAGTAAATCAAGGTTCCAATGTTTTTTTTTTTTGTAATTACTTTAACAGCTTATAAATTTTAGATAATTTTTTTTAATTATTAAACTAGTTTTAAGTGGAATGATATTTGGTTTGCTGGGGCTGTTTTTATTTTTCAACTTAATTTAAATATGCAAAGTAATTAATTTAAATGCAAAGTTTTCACCATAGTAAATCAAAGTTCCAAACTTTTCGCCATATCAAATCAAAGTTTTTGCTATAGTAAATCAAAGTTCCAAAGTTTTCATCATAGTAAATTCAAGTTCCAAAGTTTCATCATAGAAAATCAAAGTTCCAAAGTTATGACTTTGGTACCATAGTTAACTTTAGTAAACTATAGTTAAATGTAGTTTACTATAGTATTTTTCTTAGGGTGTGGTTCTTCAGAAGAATTCGAAAATGTGAAAAGTTTACAGACGGACAGACGAACGGACGGACTACAGACAAAATGTGGCCAGGAAAGCTCACATGAGTCTTCGGCTCAGGAGAGCTAAAAAGAACAATTATTAAAATTTATAATATATGTGTATTATAAAGAAGAAGGTATGGTTTCCATACAAATTTTGCCCTGTGATTTTCTGAAAGATGAAACTGGTGTACAAGTTGAAAACTCTTGCTTTTTAAATAATTGAAATTCAATGCAGAAAAATCATACAAGTCATTTTTCTCACATGTGTTTTTAAATGCTAATTATGACGTCATAAACATGGGTATTTTCCCGTATTTTCTTAAAAACTTGCAGAAGACACCAATTTTCAATGGAATTTTCTTTCAGATAACATTGTCCACAGGCATCGCCCACAAAGATCTTGAGATATGTGATTTGTTATTAAATTTTGCACAAAATATCAAAAAATTAACGTGTGCGACGGCTGTGGACACTGTTTTCTAAAGGAAAATCACCCTTGGAATGTGCAATTTTGAGCCTTTTTTTGTTGAAAATAGAAAAATGCTTCACATAAATGATGTCATATTTGCAGAATGGTAAACCTTCATGCCATATTCTTTCCTGATTTATCAGAGTCATTTATTTAGCTAATATTGAAACCAGTTTCAAAACTTTTTGATGTCATTACATTTTTAGGGCGCAATAAAGCTAAAACAATTCCTTCTTCTTTTGTCGATAAAATAAAGGTATGAAAATGGAATTTCGTTTCCTATTTTACACTAGTCACCTGAGATACATTCCAGGTCCTTGAAGTACCGAATTCTGAAACAAAAATAAATCTTATTTGAAAAAGTTGGCTGTATTTTCTTAAATATTGCAGAAATAAGTCTGGTTATGTTTATCATAGCAGTGATATGGTACACTATATATTTTTTCATCTTGGCGAATGAGGAAGAGATAGGTAATTTTTAATATATATTTTTTTTTTACATTTAACACATGCCCAAAATAAGGAACCGAGAATTAATTTAAAACATTCAATTTTAATCGATATCATTACACGAAGTACCGATCTGTTAAACATGTATCAAAAAATACTTAAATCAGATAATTCTAACGGCAAAAACGAATAAAATCTTTTAATTATTTCAGCAATATAATTACATGTAATGAGTTCGAAAATTTATTAGTAATTTTCAGCGGTAATTCAACCAATTAAATATGCACTTTCCTGCGACTTGATACAGTTAGTACATATATTTTTATAGTGTTAAATTCCATTTATCGCATACTCTAAATGTGTTACGATTTCAGTTGTAACTTTCATTTTTACAAAATTGAATAAAAAATAAGAAAAACGTTAAGGTTTATGCCTTTTGATATTTGTAAACATGTTACATGTACCTTCAATAGAATTTTCTAAACGACTTGTGCGATTAGGATTTCCAACCTGCAATTTATAAAATAGAAAAAAAGATTATCTGTAGAGGAGACCAGTAACAGTTCTCTAGGGAGGTGATTAAAGGTTTTCTTTTATATCTAGAAGCAAAATATGTCCCACAAATACTGGAGATACGATACTTCTTCTTAATATTCCTATATAGACAGAGATACCTTTTCAAGAGATAATTTTATCAAAGCAGTTGTGTAATTTGTTATCTACCTCACAGATATATTTATTTTCATTTCATTGTTTGAATGGTACATTGTAACAAGCTAGCCTAAGTTCATGGTAAATATAATATTTTTCCACGTGCATAGGATAGAACAAGAAGCAAAAGGCCCATAGGCCTTATAGGTCACCTGGGCACCATGTAGCAACTTTCAAACAATTGAATTTGGTTCGTGTTTTAAACGAGAGACCACGAAATTCACAATTCTGAAAGAGACACAACTGCTAATCATAACTTACTCTTGTTACAGTGGTACATGTATATAGATCAGAGTAACATAGAAAATGCATTTCCACCTTGTCTTTATAATCAATCTATCGCATGAAATTTTATCATAAATGATTGATTCATAACAAAGAGCTGATTTCAAAGCATTGAATCTATTTTAAGACATTGACATGATGCACAGAAGCAAAGAAAAAGATTTTCAAGGAGTTTAGAATTCATACATTTTAACTATATAATGAGCAGAAATGAAGATTTTTATAGAATTTATGCATTTTCATTATATAGTCGATAGAGCCGTGACTTAACACCAGAACCAGGGCCGTGCATATGAAATTCACAAATTATTAAGAGGTATTCCTGCACATTACAACTATGGCCCTAGTTATATTGTTTAATACCCATTAGTAGAGAAGAAGATATTCAAAGAATTGATGTTTTACTATATAATCAATAGAGCCACACAATTAACAATTTTGGAAGAGACACCCTTCCTCATCAGAACTATGTACACGGTTAGTTTGTTTAATACCCAGGAGCAGAAAACAAGATTCTTAAATGAATGATGCATTTTCACAATACAATAAAAAAAAATAAATAGTAGCCTCAAATTCTTAGTATTTATATTTCAATTTAAACATCAACATACATTTGAACAGTTTGAAACTTTGTTAGGTCATAATGTTTGTGGGCGATTGGGTGTAGATGTGATAGAATGTGAGCATTAACAAGCTCATCTATCAGAAAAGATTTGCCAGAAAAACATAATTAGATTTTAAAGAAAAATAACCAGAATAAAACAAAAAATAAGGTAATTTTCTGATGAAGTTAGAAAAAATATGATCCTTCATTTTTATTACAAAAAATTAATTTAAAAAAATGTGTTTAGATATTGATCTTTATTTTTTCTAAACCCTAATTACCGTTTTCTTTCTTTGTTTTCTTGATTCTGTAAAAAATTAGAAATACTATGAAATTATTTGCAAAAAAGCAGCCAATCCCTAAAATATCAGATTTATACCAGAATGAAATTGAGTACAGATGCACTTTAAGTGTGTTAAACACAAACATACCAACATACCTAACCTGACCCCCCCCCCCTCCCCCTAGAATCCACCCTATACACATTTTTTGTTGAAGTTACTAGTTTAGAAATAGATAAATAAAAGTAGCCAAAGAATCAAAATTCGTATTTTTTTTAACAAACTGTCGTGACTGGTAAGTTGCTTCTCTTTACTATGTAAATCTGTTACGAACATAGCTCACTATCAATATTTTTAAATTGAATGCAGTGCGTTTGTTTGAAATTTCAAAATAATGCTTACCGTAATCTACAGTGATTTTATCGATTGCATCATTGGTCAATTCCTCTCCAGTCAAATCTTTCATATCGGCTGAAATAAAAATTGAGAACCTATAGTGAATATAGTTAAAAAATACAGATTTTTTATATTATAAGTATGTTTTCTTTTAATATTCACTGCTGCTTCTCTATACCTCTTTTTCTGAAGTTAGTTAGGTTTCGTCTGATTTCCGTTCTTGAGTGCCTTGTTACAACGCACTTTGAAAAAAAATCAAACTGCGTCAAATTTGGGACCAAATCAACGCACTTTGAACAAAAAAAATTCTTTTCAAAATGCGTTGATATTGACCATATTAACGCACTTTGAAAAAAAGTGTGTATGACTTGGTCAATATTCGTGAAAATCTTATGTATGACACAATGTAAATAATTTAACCTGTTGGGTAACGTTTTGGTGATTTCGTCACTTCAGGATATGAAAGTGAGCGATAATGATTTTTCAACAATTTGAAAATTCTTTCTGCCTTAAATGTTTTATTGTACTTAATTTTTTCCAGTTTGCATGCATTGAATGTAAACTCAAATTTATTTAAAGTTTTCAATGCCACAACAGTTATTTATACGGTATGGCATAAGCATCAGTACCGGGGGAATTGGGGCTTACCTTTTTGGGGAGTAGGGGGGTTTAAACTTTCAATGTCTTACCTAAGTAAAAAAAGAGTTGGTCTGAAAGACTTTCTATATATACTCATTTTCTCAATGTTGTTCTCGATGAGGGTTAATCAATGCATGTATATTAAAAAGTTTTTCGAAAGATATATTTGTCATTATTACAATTTATTCTCTTAAATACTACAATCAAAGTCTCGAAATTTTGTTTTATATAGATTTTGTTTTCAAAGTGCGTTTAAAGTCAACATGGTAAAAATGTTTATGTACACTCTTAACGCACTTGAAAAAAAAATTTAAAGAGAGTTGCTTGTGTCCTAATTTTAACACACTTAGAATTATTTTTTTCAAAGTGCATAATTTTTTTTTTTCAAAGTGCGTTGCCACAGTGCCTATATTAATATAAAAACACATGGTATAAACAAAACATCCCTGAACAATAAGGCTCCATGGACTGGGTTATAATGTCAGCACTGTTTCCCCAAAGAAGATACGTGCATAGCAACAGAAACAAACTTGAGGAGATTTAAAGGTCTTTTTTTACCCTTTCAGTCAGCTACATTATTCTTATCCCTACCCTAACTCGGAAGATATGATTTGATCAAACTCAAATCAAACTTGTACGAGGAGGCAATCCCATAATTGTTATCTTTATGCTCTGGTTTGTGGAGAAACTAATATTCAAATGTTCGGCCAAAATTTGCTTTTCTCAATCATTACTCCTTAACTACCTTTAATAAGTTTAAGGTTCTTCAACTGAACAAAATCCTAACTCTCTTTACCTAATGATTCTTTGTTACGAAGTCAATAGATCAAAACGCGGAATTTAGACAAAAAGACAGCAGACAGCAGACAAAAGCAGACACTTTCTTTAAACTAAAAATGTATTTTAAAAAAATAAGTTTACCGAAAAATGTCTATTGCCATCAACCTTTATTGAATTGAGAATAAATACTTTAAAAATCATTTCTGAAAATTGTACAACCCTTTTAAACATAACTGAATAGACCATTATCATATACCATTGCAAAAATTATTTTTTTATATGACTTACCCTTGTCCTTCCTCTCTTTTCTACAAAGAAAAATCGACACCATTGCAAGTAGAAAAAATAGCACTCCAGATAATACTAGGAAGGAAATAGTTTTCCTGAAAAAGAATAACTTTAAAATAAAAGTTTATTTGTTATCTCTATAATTATATGATATCTAATATACAATTAATTTAATGCTGATTATAAACCTCGAACATGCAAACTTATCTACTCAACAGACATTTGTCTTACTTCATATAAGAAAAAAATAACAATAACGCCTTAAATGAGGTAAATTCATGTTTATATAATCACACAGAATTTTGCATTTAAGCCATATAGAATCTATATAATAAAAGATACAATTTAGATAAAAAATTCTCACTTTCATATTCATATCAAAATTGTTTGTTCTATTACATGTATAAATTACACTCACGTATTCCAATCTCTATTAAGACATGCCTTAGATTTTCTCCCGGTTACCAAACTGCCACAGACAGCATCTATGCAAGAAAAAGAGTGACAACATATCAGGTATTGAATAAGATTCTCATTTTGACTAGACTTTGAATCTATTTTAAATTTAAATGTATAAAAAAAATATAATGAACTACTTTAAAGCAACTTGAATAACTTCCACATGAAGAGCCTTTGGTTGATAAGGAGGAGGCAAGTAGAATACTGTATGCAGGTAAATTTTGTCCCGGTTTTATTTTCGCCCCTTTCTAGTTTGGGTTAATGTAAAACGGGACAAATTCTAAAAATAAAGTTTATAATTTCTTGCATAAAAGTGTAACTGGGCGAAATTAAAACTGGACGAAAACTGTTTGCAAAACTGAAAGAGCGAAAATAAAGCGGGACAAAAATAACCCTATATATAATCAATTAATTTTGTCTAAATAAGATTTGTTGATGAGCCTTGACGGACCTCCGAAAATTTGTTCGACCCACAGGGGATCTCATTCTAAGGAATGGTCTCAGATTCACACAGTTGGTTTATACACCGCGATCTGGGGGGGTTTAGTTCAAAATCTACAACTCTATCCACTTTTCATGTCACGGAAAAAAATGTCTTCAGTTTTTCTTAGTATTATTCAGATTTATTTCGATAATTCCCGGCGAATTTATGGTCCATTCTTGAAAATCTTTTCAATTACAACGCTGAAGAAGAATTTTTTTTCTAATACCAGTATTTCCCCAATTTATGAAAACTACTGTAAGTCCACGTTGAATCAAACTGATTTTTTGGTTTTATTTTGTGAAAACTACAAAAGAGAAAATCTTTAATTTTATAACATACCCCAAAACCTTGAAAGCAGCAGCTAAATTTAGGTATCGGAAAGAAAGTGGAGGCTTATTTTCAATGCTGTCTAATTTTAAAAATGCGGCTTATTCTCCTTTTAAAAAACTGACAGTGATTCTGATGAGGACATATATATTCCCCCTTTTTATGAGCTTTAATTTATCATAGCTCACTATTAGGACGCCAATCTATGGTGTGTGCGGGTTTGACAGGTCGACAGGGTATGCTCACTCCTCCATGGCACCTTATCCCAACTCTGATGTTTTGGGGGTCCATGTTTGCTCTGCTCTTATTTTGTATTATGTTATGGACTTTGAGACTGAATACTGTTCGTTATCTCCATATCCTTCATCTATCAGCTGTAAAATCGTTTTGACTATTACTTAAGATTTTTTAAAATAAATAAATGGATACATGATTTCTTGATTTTGTTGAATGTTATTTCATGTATTTGATTACATGAAAAAGTTGCTCTAAAACAATTTATGCTTCCATTTTAAAATCATGCGCGAAGTATTCATCAATGGCAACCTCGGTTGACCCCCTGAGGAAGAAGTTCAATAACAGGATGCCCATAATTCAACTACGATCTGAATACCTTGCGCAGTTAATATTTTTTCTCTATTTTAAGTATAGAATAGTACCAAAAGTCTAAATTGCTCTTTGATAGGGTGTTAGTTTCTTTTTCATTTCATTTCATTATGATTTTAATACTTCTTGTACATGACAGAATATCTTCACTTCTGAATCGCTTTGGGCATCCCTTATCTGCACAGTTTATGTCAAGCTCTTGTATTACTTTTCCATATTGATTAAACTCCAGACAGCGCCCTAAAATAAGAAGTCATAGATATTTTATTAATACAATTTAGGAAGCAATCACTTGTATACTTACAGTGAATACGTTGTTTATTACATTAAAATATATCAGTTACTAATACGTTGTCCATGTGTTGCAGTGGTTACAGCGTTTACTCTGGATTTGCGGAGTGAGGAGTTGATCCTTACGTCGCGGGTTCGAATACCACTTCGAGACGTTGAGACCGTGCAATTGCATAAGACTGTATAAACTGAGGTCCCCTGTCGCAGTTAAATCCATCATTGCCCAATGACCCTAAGTGCCGAGTATAGTATGTGTTTGCTGCACTTCATTAGCAAGTGAAATTCTCGGGAGGAACGTTAAATAACAAACAAATCAAAATATTATGACTTATACGAAGATTTGGTGTTAATTGGCCCTATAATCATATCATCAAACTCACTGATTTAATTAACAAATCGTTAGGTTCTTTAATTACCATTTACAGATTTGTATATATCAGTTTGTTATCTTCACCTTCCATGAATGTCGATTAAAAAGCATTAGGATACTCTCTCTCTCTCTCTCACACACACACATGCTAAACAACTTACCTTGGGAATAGATTGAAGGAGCACATACCTCGTAGGTCTCATTTGCCCAAAAATTAATAACACAATGATATGAGAAATTTCCGGGGGGAGAACAGTTTTGAACTTCAGCAAGGCTTTCACAGTCTTTTCTTAGTTTTGCCTCTTTTACTTCCTTTTCTGTTCTTGGACAATTAGAGACCTTTTGCAGAGTTGAAAGTGAAACATTACAAGCGGCCATTTGTACACCGTCGATCTCTTAAAAAGAAATTGATATTGAACAAGAACTAGGTTGATATGAAATTCGAATAATAACTTCATAAAAATATACAAATACATTAGATTGATTTTAGTGTTACCCTTGTAAGAAGTAAACACTTCGCAGCACTTTTGATATGCAAACACTGTATGTATATTCAACATACATTTTGCTGCATAATAAAAAAAATGTATTGTAAGAGGCATGCTTAAAGATAAAAGAAGAATACATTTAATGATGAATTTGTCGCTAACATCATTTTATTTTCTTTTTTTACATTCAGTTAAAATTTGCAAATTTTTTCTAGTACGAAATCTATGTAATCTTTCAAAAAAGAAATACAAAGGCTATTTCAATTTTAAACGAAGTCGGCAGCAGTACTTGATAATTTTAGCATTAGAGTGTATAAAAAAGTTGACTCAAAAGTGAATTGGAACACAAATGACTGAAAGCTTTTTAAGTCTGCTCCAAATCCCTATTGACTGGCGTTAGAAATCCCATACTTTGCATATAGATTCAAACGTCGAATGGTGTTACACATACACTACCATTCATAAGTATGTATTCACTGTCTTATTATGATAACTTTCCAAGAATGACTCTATTACATGTGTGTACTCTATTTAATGAAGAGAGAACTTCTATTATGGTTCAAGAAATCTCATCGGAAAGTTTACTTTCCTTTTAAAAAAAATCAATAACAACCCTAATACCTTCTTTTTTTTCATCCTAACTACAGTATTTTCTTCCATGATCATTGATTTTATAGCTTATTAATTATCTCATTTGAGTCGCCTGGATTTAAATATATTGCAAATTAATTCTAAATAAGAAATTACTAGACTAAGTAAAAGGTGATTAATCAGCAACGGTTTTAAAGCATACTATTTGATAGGGAGGAATGAGCACCCACTGAACTGGTTACTCCAAAATGATGCTCTTCACGACGATAGTATCATTTTTGACACGCTAAATGTATATGTACAACAAATCAGAGTGTCAGAGATAGATATAAGCCTTTTTCTTTTCATAGAGTCATCCGCGTGGCGCAATGGTTAAAGCGTCTGGGTCCTAGTCGCAAAGTAAAGATTCCTCACTGGTCAATGACCCTGAGTGCTGAGTATAGCATAAAATTTGTATCTCTCCACCGGAAAATGGTGGCGTCTCATATGAGTGAAAATTTATCGATCAATCAATCTTTTCCCAGATACAAAAGTTGTCAGAAGACAAAATGTTTACACGCAGATGCTCCACGATCAGTGCGGTCTAAATCAGAAAGGACAGAGTACTTGTATGACATTCACTGAAGATAGGAGACGGTTACACGGCTAAGAGTATGGTAGATTCAGCACGAAGTTCAGGCCTCAAACAGCACTGTTAATAGACAAATTAAAGAGGCTGGTCTGGTGCCCATTGCGATTTAAAAAAAAATCTTTCCCTTACGTACAGCTGGCAATCGCAGGTAAGGGCTACAATTCACATTAGCTCATTTAGCTCATTTGGACTTGGATTGGACTAATCATGATAAATAAAGATTCAGTTTATTTCAAAATGATAATCCTTTCACCGTAAGAAGAAGGACACACAAAAACATGGTATTGTACTTATTGTTAAATTTTGTGGTGAAGTTGTGACTGTTTTGGTTGGAGTACTGTCTTTTCAAGACCCGTCAAAAGAAATCTCAATAAGGATGGATATTAAGACCTACTAACTCTAGAATTTCTTCAGTACATCTACTGTGATAATTTTAACTTTAAAGATGGTTGAAAGACTACAGTCTGAAGAACCTAGACAAAGATTTGGTAAATGAATGGAGTCGTTTTCAACATCTAATTTGTGACATGCTGAACCGAATACGAATAGTTAATCGGAAGAGATTATACAAAATTTTGCTATCCTTGATAGATTTGTAGATAACGATATCTGTGCATATGCAAAGAAATAAACTTATATCCTTGTATTTCATTGTTTTTTTTTTGTTACATCTTGTAGTGTTCGAATACTTCAAATTTATTTAAAATAGCATATAGGATAGGATAAGATAGCACAACTAGGTGCATACTAGCTGCAATAATGTAGCCTTCTACCTTTTTTTGGAGAGGGCTACAACTCCTCAGGATTCCCGTAATGGTGCAAGGCGGGAGCGATTCATTCCCGCACGAATTTCAGCTAAAATTGTCAGTAAACCGCTATTTAATTAACATGCCTTACCTGGACTTCCAAAATGCAGTTATCCAAGACATAAATCGATCCAAAAAATATACGGAACAATCCATATATCACTTATTTTTCGTGTATATCAACATCACAACTTAAATTTATCCACCGTGTTTACAAACCTTGACAGATTTTATTTTGGATCAGCCAATGAGATTAAGGATCTATAGGGATCGGATTTCTTTGAATTACCTTATTTTAAGCATAAATATTACTGTTTACGTAGACATAACACATGGAATGGTTTTTTTACATGTATCAATGTTTACTGATATTATTCATCACATTTATTTATATAAACCGACAACTGCTTTATTGAGTTATTCTAAATTTTAAGCGCAAGCCTCAGTACGTCACATGAAAACTGTCATGGCTGCTAAATAGAAGCGACAGGCAAACATTCAGATTTATTCTACAAGGTTTTCGCGTTAAACGGGCTTTATTGTCGACAGTGAATAAAATCTTGTCTTATTAGAAGTAAGTTGAATGAAAAAAAACATTTATTCTGCCTGCAGTCGCCCGTATTAAAAAATATTTTTGCACCATTACGGATATGCTATGGAATTGTAGCAATCTCCAGAAATCAGCAGATAGAAAAATCGGAGAGGGCTACATTATTTCAGCTAGGTGCACACATTCAGTGGATATAAATGTCAGAACATAGATTGATTCCCAAGGACGTAAAAATCAATAAAGAGGCTATGATCATCAGTAAAGTTAAAGCAAAACAGAGTCCTATATAAGAAACTTGAAACAAAATATTTTTGATGTTTACTCAATTTTATGAGCTGGAAATGACATTTGTGTCGAATAACTTTTATAATATAGTATTTCAAAACAAACATGTAGCGATATATCCTAAAAAAATTTCGTCTCATGAAAATGAATTATTAAGAAAAGTAATATGATTTCCACAGTTTTTTTTCGTAAATTTTCAAAACAATTCTTAAGTTAAATACGCTTTCATGGTCTAAAATACTGAGATTAAGATTTTGCAACATTGTTGCATCATTGTTACCAAAGAAAACAAAATTTAATATCATTTTTTAGGCCGAATTTGAATTTACGATTGCTTTTAAAGGCTTAAGAGCTATTCTCCGTTGCCGAGTAGATGGGTGATGAAGGAACTAATTCTTATAATCATGGAAACCACTCTGTTTATTTATTTAATATCTCTTCTTACCTCTTATTGTGGATACAAGCATAATATCTTTTTAAATTATATAGTAGGTTGGTAAAATATGCACTGGCATTTTACAGGCTTATTTACCTCTCTGATTTTCTTAGGTTAATTAAAACATGTACATGTATACAGTTAGAACTGATATGATTTGTAAGTGTCATTTTATCAAAAGATTCACTCTTTTTAAAGTACGTTCATTATAAAATAATAATAAAGTAAAAAAAAAAATAAAAATAATAAAAAAAATATAAAAGATTAAAAAAAGATCAGGTATAGTTTTATGTCATGAATTGAAAATATAGGCCTCGGCCTTTCATTCATTATTTTCTAAGACAGTGACCTCTTAATCCGATGATACGTATAATGAAAAGGAATCTTGATAAATATTTTCAAATACAGAAAACCAAACAAACTTTATAAAATTGTAGCCAAGCTCAGCTTTATAAATTTAAAATAATACGATTATCAATTCTCTTTATAGACGTTCTTTGGATTTGAAATATGTGTTTTAAAAACATTTTTACTTTATCTTTGATTTAAGAAAGATTACAAACCTTGAGAACTTTTGAGAGAACAGAAAATCCTGTCAGCACTCAAAAATGATTCCGCTTCGGAATTGTAGGGATAAAAAATATAGCTGCAGTAATTTCTTTCAAAGGCAAAAATGTCAATAAAAGATTTTAACAGACAGTCAGACAGAAACCTATTAGTAAATGGATTTCCTGCGCAGAAATGTAAATATGGATTATGAATATAAAGCCATATCGATATTAGATCTGTGGTCTAAAGGATAACTTTATAATCCTCATAAATTGGTATGGTGTACTTTTCAAGGTTGATTGGGATGCACTTTCAATATCCAAACTGCATTTTTACCGTTTCGTTACACATATATAAAAAGATACATTGTAAGACGTTTATATTCGAAGGAACTGATACCAATACTTTACCAAACATGTAGATTCTTTAAGATTACCAGTTAACCGCTTTTACTAAGAAATTACCATCTCTAGGGAATTAACTTTCATAGAATAAAAAAAGGGAGATTACGAACAGTATTCAAGAACAAAAGTCCATAAAACAATACAAAATAAGAGCAGAGCAAACATGGACCTCCAAATTAAACATCAGAGATGGGAGGAGTGAGCATCCCCTGCTGACCGGTCACACCCGCCGTGTGCTCCTTGTTATGATCGGGATATAACGTCAAAATCCGTCGTCTAATCATTGTATAAACAATACGTATAAAAAAGAAACAGAATATATAGGAAAAGCTAGTACAAAAATATCCCAACATAGCTTGAAAACAAAATCTATTTATTTGGTGTTCGCAAGAAACCTTTGTCTACGTAGCTATATAAAATAGGTGAAAAAATGTAAGACGTCTGGTTTTAAAAAATAATTGTAATAAACTTATCTCATTAATGTTTTGTACCTTTCTACCTAATTGTGTACAATATTATCAATATTTGTGTCCTAGATTAGTGGTTAGTGGATATTGTTAAAACTATCTACAAAAAAGGATGATCCTATTTTTCCAGAAAATTATCTACTTATAAATCTTTTGAGTTGCTTATGATCAACTTTTCATATTTATATTATTCAAGTGATAAGAGATGTTTCCAGCTGAATTTAAACCTATTTTAGGAAATAATGCAGGATTT